TGTTATAAGAAATTGATTCGTGTGATTATGGAATTTGGCTAGTCCAAAATCTTCAGAGCAAGCCAGCAGTCTGTATATTCAAATTAGAGTTCATGAAGCAATCCTGAGTCTGAAGGGAAGATCACACTCTTTTCTCCTTATCCTTCAACTGATTAGTTGAGGCCCACTCATAACATTATGAAGGGTAATTTTCTTTTTTTTTTTTTTTGTCAGTTGTGGGGCTTGAACTCTGGGCCTGGGCGCTGTCCCTCAGCTCTTCAGCTCAAGGCGAGCACTCTACCACTTGAGCTACAGCGCCACTTCCGGTTTTCTGGTGGTTTATTGGAGATAGGAGTCTCACGGTCTCTCCTGCCCGGGCTGGCTTTGAACCGTGATCCTCAGATCTCAGCCTCCTGAGTAGCTAGGATTACAGGCGTGAGCCACCAGAGCCCGGCTAGAAGAGTAATTTTCTATCTTCAAATTCTACTGAGTGAATATTTAAATATTAATTGAATCTAAAAATGCCTTCACAGATAAGTGAGGATTCGTGGGTTTTGTTGTTGTTGTTTTGTTTATTTCTGTACTAATACTGGGACTTGGACTCATGTTCTTATGCTTCTTTCTCAGATATTTTGCTCATGACTGGTGCTTAAACACTTGAGCCATGTCTCCAATTCCAGATTTTTTCTCTTTCTTTCTTCCTTTTTTTTTTTACTGGTCCTGGGGCTTGAACTTAGGTCCTAGATCTTGTCTCTGAGCCTTTTTGCTCAAGGCTCATGCTCTACCACTTGAGCCATAGTTCCACTTCTGGATTTTTAGTGGTTAATTGGAGATAAGAAGATCTCTTAGACTTTCCTATGAAGGATTGGAGATAAGAGTCTCTTAGACTTTCCTACACAGGTTGGTTTTGAACTATACCTCAACCCTTAGATCTCAGCCTCCTGAGTAGCTAGGATTACAAATGTGAGCCACCAGTCCCCAGCTGCTGACTTTTCTTTGGAACTGAAAGTAAAAAGATAACCACAGACACAATTCCAATCTTTTAGTAATATATATATATTTAGTAACATATATAATGGCAATGACAACTATGTAGATATGTACATTGTAATGTGTATATGAAATGTGATTGATACAGGTATGAACCAAGCACTATGGGAACTCAGAAAAAGGAGAAAGTAAGTTTCTTTTGTACGAAGTATGGGTGATGAAAGTGGGTATGGTTGGGGAAGAAGGAAATTTGGGAAGTGCTGAGGAAGGAGTGGGTACTTTCCAGATGGACAGGAAACTGCTAATGAGGGAGCAGCCTGCAGATTGCCATTGAGTTTATCCTAAACCTGGACACGTGGTTGCAAGTAGGTATCTAGATTTAGGATAAGCAGCTTTAGTTCCACTTAGGGAATAGCATTCGCCTTGAGCACAAAAGCTCAGGGACAATGAGCACCCAGGCCCTGAGTTCAAGCCCCAGGACATGCACTAAAGAAAAAAGAAAAAAACAAGGAAGTCCAGTATAGATAATGCCATCACTTCACAAACACCCCATAAAGATTTACAATGGCTTTGTCACTTCTTTGTAAACTAAAGTTCTATAAGGAGAATAATTATATCTGATGTTCTAACCTGATATTTATCAGAGTGCTTAACATATCAGAGATCTTCTAAAGATTTCACCTGGAAGAGCATCGCAGCCATTAAATTTTATTATCTTTGGTGAGGGATATAGCTCATGGGTGGAGTGCTTGCCTAGCATGCACAAGGCACTGGGTTTGAAACTAAAACCACACACACACACACACACACACATACACACACACACACACACACATACACACGCACACAGAGTAAATTTTATCATCTCAACGTCAATATCTTTCTCCATTTTTCTTGTACTGCAGTTTTTAGCTAGGTATAAAGGTCCTTGGCATAGCTAAATGTACATTCCTTCCTGTCTTCACTCACCCTAGGGCCTAACCAGCACTGAGTACATGTTAGATCTGCAATTATACTTGTTGACTAAATGATGAACACATCTGACATTGACACATTCTCATCTCTGAATCAGAGCCTTTCTCATGCCCAGACTTATCCCTGACGTGATACGGCAGACTGTGGAAAATCAGGCTAAGTGAATTAAGGTCAACTCTGCCCCGGAGAGATGGAGTACATGCCTCTTGAGATTAACCTGTATACTTCCCAGGAAATCATGTACCCATACTCTCTATGCAGATTGTAATTTCACCCTGGTGATCAGATGGAAATAGGGACAGGAAAGTTAGAGGGAGAAAGCCCACTGCTAAAGAAAGTCCAAGATGGATGTACTGTGGGAGAAAATGAAACCAGAGCTCTCTGCCATAAATTAGATAAAAGGAAGTCACAGTTGCATCAAAAACCAAAAGAAAAGACAACAGCTCAAATTGAGCCCCAATACTCTCTGTGACTTTGGAAGGTAGTAAGCCCTTTACATCAGAACTGTTTGGTCAGAATATTGAACATTCTAGCTCCATTCACAGCTAAATCCCTGGGCTCTCACATCTCATTTTCACTTAGATGCCTTACTTTTCAATTCCTTTTGACTATACCTTGTTTCAAGTTCCAAGATCCCAAAAGCAGAAATGACTTTTCCACTGTGACCTACATTATCTCTCTTAGACTTGGCTCTCTGGGGGATGAAGCAGAATTGAATGAGCATGGTAGCACCATGATTTGAATTCCACTCACAAACTGTGTCACTGTGGACCTCCCCTCTCTGGCCGTTTCTTAATGGGTTTAATACTATCTATCCTATTCAAAAGATTATTTGTATTAATTGAGATAAATAAGAGTAGTAATTATTTCCAGTATCATTTACCCTCTCACTATCAGCATCTGTGCCCAGGTAAATGCTTTCCCCATCTGGCTTCAGTCCCACGAAGTCTACCCTACCTACCAGCATCCCTAGTAAGAACATTTCTCTGCTTGAGTTATTATTGATTCTTGAATGTTATTCACCAGTTTTGAAAACCTGAGCACTTACTGTGTTCCACAACGAACATTCCCATCCACCTGTGGCTCTTGGATGTAATATGACATTTCTTGACCTAGATGGTAAAGAGGGAAAGATCCCCCTTTCCTGACAGCCCTGAAATGAATGACAGAGAGCCCACAGTCACTCTCCCTACTGTTTAAATAACAGCTTGCAGAGTCTCACCTGGCAGCAACCATGTTTTTGGTACTAAATAATAATCCCTTAGAAAATCAATGCTCTGAAGACCATTAATCATTTCTCAGAGAGAAAATGTCGTTGCCGCTATTACTAGGCAGGAAACTGTTCTAGAAATGATCTAAGGTGACTCTTTTCAACTTTCCTGTCTCAAAGAAACATTTTACCATCAAGATCTAGAAGCTGCTTAACATTTCTTTTCATAATTTACCACAGTATTCAGGGCTCTCAAAAGCCATGTAATTCAACCCAAATTTGTATAGAAAAATAGACTCATACAGAATATGACCATGACCAAGAGGAAGAGCCCAGATGCTTGACTACCAGACAAAAGGCAACCAATAAGTGGGCATCCAATTCTCTTTTGTTTCTTTCTTCCTCCCACACCCAGAGCTTTGCATGTTCCAAGCAAGCACTATACCAAAAACTACATAAGCAACATAACTAACTTGAACCATGGTTTTTGTTTGGTGGTAGTGGTCATGGTGTGAGTTATGTATGTTGGTCGTGTGTGTGTGTGTGTGTGTGTGTGTGTGTGTGTGTGTGTGTGTGTGTGTGTGTGTGTATGTATGTGTTTCTGCAAGTCCTGGGGCTTGAACTCAGAGCCTGGGCACTGTCCTTCACCTTTTTTGCTCAAGGCTAGCATTCTACCAGTTGAGCCACAGCTCCACTTCCACCTTTGGGATTAATGGAAGATAAGAGCCTCATGTACTTGTCTGCCTGGGCTGGCTTTGAACGTCAATCCTCAAATCTCAGCCCCCCCCCAGTAGCCAGGATTATACACGTGATCTATTGGCACTTGGGGTAACCAAATCTGTTTAATATCACACTTTAGAACTACACTGTAAAACCACTTTTAAACAAGACTTCTTATGTACTACATGAGAATCTTGAGCAAGTTACTTTCCCTACTCCCCAAAGCTGGGATCTCCAGGTCATCTGCTTCAATAGTACCTGGAAACTTACTAGAGCTAAAGGCTCTACCTCAAACCTATAAAAGACCTACTTTTGATAACTTATGTAAATGATAATAGAGGGATCTTGGTAACTTGCTTAAAGCCATCTAGTAGAGCAGAAGGAACAACACTTAAGTCATAAATTATCAAGATATCACAGTCCAGTGTCCCCCTTTAAAGTAGTCTTATTCCTCCCCATATTTAACCTAGTTTCTCCACCTAAATTTAAAAAAAAAAAAACTTTAATGATTCCTTTTAAAATCTCACTCATCCGGCCCTCCCACAAACACCTTTTAGGGGGAAATTAGTTCAGCCTCATTAACCCGGGAGCATGTCACCTTTGAATGGGAAGAGGTGACTCAAGGTTTGGTAGGTTCATATTCTTAACAGATGGGCAAAAGAGGAATAGCCTCAACTGTGAGCACCCTGTGCTAATAATCATCTAGGTCTCCGAGCAACAGAGAGCGCAGGGAGTTATTATAGGCTCTTGATTTTGTATTATGTTCAACTACTTTTCAAAGTTCATCCACATCCTGTTGAGCCTTCCAACCATCTGAGGAGGAGGGCAGAAAAGGAATTATGACTAACGAGGCTCAGAAAGACTAAATGACTTTTTTTTTTTCAAAGTCACAAAGCTAGAAAGAAATCAGGCTGGAACCAGGACCTCAATCAGATATTTTCCCCAGGTATTTTCTCACACATACAAGAAAAGAAAGCTCTGTATAGACCATGGCATAAGCTATTATTAAAACATTCTGATCATCAGTTGCTGTTTTAATGAGGGTGAGCTGGCAGTGAGCTGAAGAGTAGGATAGAGAAAAGAGTAGAAAGAAAAGACTCAGAGGGGAAACATCCTCACCTCCATTTCACATACAGGGGAAGATACCATGATCATGATGATGATTTTTCCAGGGTAAGGTTTATCTATTGAACTCTGGATGTGCTCATCTTTGCGACTGCCCCAAATGCAGGAAACTTGACTGCATAACTTGTAGTAGTGGAACACTGCATTTATACTCTCCTCTTACAAAAGAAAAGAAATGTTCTAATAAAGCACTTTGATTGAAGCCAAACTTCAAGGAGCTAACACACTGGCAAGCTCTCTCTTTTTTGCCTCAGGTCATAGGGTAGGTGCTGCTTGAAGATAACTCTAGTAGCCGGCAACCTACTGAACACAGAGTAAATTCCCCTACAGCTTTACTGAATGAATAAATGACCATTCCTGACTGGTAATTCTTGGTTTTGTCTCTCACAAGGCCCATTGTCCACTCTTCATTTTTCCTCTCCTATGTTTCTGAAGCCTGGGTCATTATGAGAGCTCCTAATCAAGAAGAGAAATAATAGTCCAATAAAATAAAATTGATCCCTTTTGTCTTGGGACAAAAGTTGAACCAAACCAAGCAGTTCTATTCTTCATTCCCCACAGACTCAACAGATTTGGTATTTTCCCAGCAGAGGAATTCCTTGTTTCAAAACAAAAACAAAATCAATTAGCCATCCAAATGGTACCTCAAATGGTAGCACCTGAGCCTGATTCTGATGAATCCAAGATGACTGAGAGATACCAAAGGATAGCAAGGACTGTCCAACCCTCCTGTCCCCTTCACTCTGTCCTAAGCACCTTCACCCTGATCCCAACCTTTATCACATTTTCTTGAACTTGTATGCAGTCTCTTAATCACCCTTCCACACTCCAGGCTCCAGCCTTTGCTTCATCTGATCTGAATATCCTCCCCACATCCATATACACATATGGCATCCAAGATTCTTGTCTCCCTCTCCTGATTATTTCTCACCACTCCTCCTAGTCATGCTATAGATCAGTGGAAGCACTGCCCAGGGAGCACATGAATTCCCCACCTAGCTAGAATATCTTTCCCTATTTCTTTATCATGAGCACTATCCATCTTTCAAGACTCATGTCCTCTGGCTTTCTTCAAAAAGGAGTTCCTTTCTCCGTGATTACTCAGTATTTTTTTTTCAATATCCTGGTTACTTGTAACTTTTGGTTTTTGTCTCTTCTCTTACTTTTAAACTTGTCTAAGAGGGATATGACACGTTAGTCAACTTTTAGATATCCTTGAATACCTCATGCCTAACATAGTATCTCTTGCATGTACAAAAGTACATATTTTCTCCAAAAGAACCACTGAGAACTGCCCAAATCCCTGGAGAACTCAAGAGCTTGGCAATTCACCTACCATATTCTGGTAGGACCTGCTGGGTATTAAAGAATACCAACTCAGGAGCTGGGAAGGTGGCTCAATGGTAGAGTGCTTGCCTTGCACGCATGAGGCCCTGGGTTCGATTCCTCAGCACCACATAAGCAAAAAGAAAAAAGCCAGAAGTGGCGCTGTGGTTCAAGTGGTAGAGCGCTAGCCTTGAGCTGAAGGGCTGAGGGACAGTGCCCAGGCCCAGAGTTCAGGCCCCACGACCGGACCCCCCCAAAAAAAAGAAGAATACCAACCCCAAAGTATGTAAAGTATAAAAAATATCTTAGAATGCAACACAGCGATATATTTCAACATTTTAAATGTGCAAGTTTTAACTTAAGCATTCTGCTTCAAGAAGTTTTCTTATACACATTCTCACATATATGCACTGAAAAATAACTAGAAGAATGTTCAGTACAACTTGTTTATAATAGCTGAAAAAGATAATACTGGGTGCTGCTGGCTCATTCCTACAATCCTAGCTACTTAGGAGGATGAGAGCTGAGAACCAAAATCAGCTCAAGCAGAAAAGTCTGTGAGACTCTTATCTCCAATTAATGAACAGAAAGCTAAAAGTTAGGTGTGGCAGAAGTGGTAGGGCATCAGCCTGAAGCAAAAAGCCAAGCAAGAATGCAAGGCCCTGAGTTCAAGCCCCAGTATCAAAACACACACACACACACACACACACACACACACACACACACACACACACGATAGAGGCAGCAGTTAAATGAATAATATTATGCTGATACCATTTGACATTATACATTTACTACTATGCTTTAAATGTGGAATGTTACACAAAGGCTCATATGTTAAAGGCTTGGTCTTTAGCTTGGTACTATTGTGAGGATGGTGGAACCTTAGTCCATTGCTGTCTTTCTTTTTTGCTCCTGGCCATCATGAGATAAGCAGCTTTCTCTAATATACTCTCCTTTCATAATGTTCTTCATCACTACAAGCCTAAAAGCAAGAGGAGACAACTGACCATGGAGTAAAAATTTCTAAAATTGTGCGACAAAATAAACCTTTCCTCTTTATAAGCTTGTTCCATCTCAAATGTTTTGTTACAGTAACACAAGCTGACTAATAGCAAGAAGAAGGAATTCCACCAACACTGCATTCTATTCGTGTGTTTTCCACTGTAACAATAAAATTACTGTGGCTGCGTACTTTAGAAAGAAAAGAATTTATTCAACTCACAGTGTAGGAGGCATAAAGTCTATAGCACTGTTCTGGCTAAGGATCTGTAGAAGATGGAATTGTGTGAGGAGTATGTTGAAGAGGGAGGCCAGAAAACCAGAGAGACGAGAGAGAATCCAGGCTTATACATTTGTAGGAACCCTCTCTTGAGAACTAACTGGGTTCCCAGGAAAACAACATTGATGGCAGGGTCCCCAGTGACCTAATTACTTCGCACCAGGCCTCACCTCTTAAAGGATCTATCACCTTTGAACACTGACATATTCTGTGCCAAGTTCCTAACACATGAGCCCTTGGGGAAGACACACAAACCATCATGTACTAACTCAGAAAGATGTCCAACATATAAAAATAAGTGCAAAAAAATCAAGCCCATGGCACAAGGGAAATGAAATATACCAAAATATTATTTATCTTTTTTTTTTTTAAATCAGTTGTGGGGCTTGAACTCGGCCTGGGCGCTGTCCCTCAGCTCTTCAGCTCAAGGCTAGTGCTTTATTACTGCGAGCCACAGAGCCACTTCTGGTTTTCTGGTGATTAATTGGAGATAAGAGTCTCATGGACTTTCTTGCCCAGGCTGACTTTGAACTGCGATCCTCAGATCTCAGCCTCCTGAGTGGCTAAGATCACAGGCATGAGCCACTGGCGCCCAGCTTGTAGTTATCTTTAAAACACAGAGGAATTTCATACTGAACTCTGTATGTTTACATGCTTATAAAATTTCTAACCAGTTAATACATTTATAATAAAAAGCACACAGGTTTTTTTTAAAGCATAAATCAAATCCCTACCCAACATCCAGCTGTTCCTCTGGATGTTGTGAAAGATAAGGTTGTTCCCAGTCTAAAAAATCTACCACCTGCTCTTCAGCAGGTGCTGCATGAGGGAACCGCAGATCTGAGTGCTGCTCTCTCCCAGGTGCCAATCACACCCTCCTAAATAGAACCACATTAGCAGGTCTTGGGACAAGTATGTGGGAAAATTCTCAAAAGATGCTTCTGCCTCTTTCTTTCCCTGACAAGGCCCAAATCAGAAGAGAAACTAACTTCAGATGCATCAGTTAACTTCACGTATAGCCCCTCACCTCCCCTTCCAAGAGCATCCTAGGTGCTAGGCAGGATGCCCCCCAGCAGAGAATTCTGCAGATGCATCTGCTGGCCTGTCCAGGAACTGACTGGAGAACATAGAAAGGAACACAGCTACTTGGAAAGGCAAAGGACAGAAACAGGTGGATGGATCCCACGCTTGATATCAATTGTCTAATTTCATCCTTCCCTTTGGTTGAGTGCACTTTGTCTCCGATTTAAATGGTGGAAAAGGGCACCAGAGTGAGACTGTTGACAGTTGGTTCTCATTATATACCAGGACGGAGGCCTGGCATCACTCATATCCCAGCAGCTGAGAAAATAGATTAAGCTATCTTGTAAGCTCTAGCATGTGAATTGCACTGAGAGGGCCTGAAATACACACTTGTGGCAAGTAACAATGAGTCTAATAATGTTTATTGTTCATTTTAATAATACCATTATTATTAGCTACATAAATGAATAACTCAGTAATATTACAGATTATCAATTACTGTGCCAAATGCCAAAGGCATTATTGCCTTTCAAAACAATCCTATAGGAAGCACTATTATTACGCCAGAGTAAATCTGTCCTAACTCCTGGTTTTTCTTTCTCAAGAGATTTGGTCCGTCTCTTTCATTATCTCCCCTATATCCTCGCCAATGTTTTCTGTAGCCTGGGTGAAAGTGAGGACTCCTAATGAAGAAAATTATAAATGAGAATACCAGTGATTTATTAAATTTTTTTCATATCGTCATTCAATTAGTAAACAATACTGACCACTCTGGTACAGTGTCTTGTCTAGTAGAATATTGGGAGTGAGTCACAAAGGATATATCAAGATGAAGCCAAAATAATAAACTGAGCACACAAAATTACCTCTCCCTTTAAAATCCTATAAAACTATAGGAAAGATATTTTGGAAAAAAATATTAATACAAATAACATGAAAAGCAGTATTCACTGTCTTGGATAAACACATAGACATGGGAGGCAAAGGTCAGGTAAGACCACATCTCAGCTCTATACACCTACCATTAAGTCCAAATGGCCAGATATCCTTAAGATATCCTTAAGAGACTCGATTCACTAATGCTCCCACCTGCCCTCTTTTCCTAGATAAACTCATGGGGCAGGCACCAGACCCAAATTTACTCCCAGCTCAGATCTTTAGCAGATATCCAGCTCAGCTCCCTTGCCTGCCTCCAACTGTGACCTTATTTCCCACCATTAGTCCCACCATTAGTTACTTTCGAACCACCTCCACTAGGCAAGCCTAGCATACTTTCAGACCCACTACAAATACTGCAGGCTGTCAACAAGGAGTAGAATCTAGCTTTGTCTGAAGGCTCCCCATCACAGATTTTTTTTTTTCCTAATAAGCCTGTGTTTGTGTCAAGATGTCTCCTTGTCTACTCTTTCACTCACCTTTCTTCCTCTTTTTGAATCTAACATCTACCAGAGATGTTGTAGTGCCCAAGTCGCAGGACCCCCACCAAGAAGACCACCGAGAGTCAGACATTCCGAAATGCAAAAACAAGGT